ACAAGGTCAGGAGTTCGAGACCAACCTGGCCAACATGATGAAACCTCATCTCTACTTAAGATACAAAAAATTAGCTGGGCATGGTGGTAGCAGGGCCTGTAATCCCAGCTACTTGGAGGGGCTGAGGCAGGAGAATCGCTTGAACCCGGGAGGCAGAGGTTGCAGTGAGCTGAGATTGTGCCATTGTACTCCAGCCTGGACAACAGGGTGAGGCTCAGACTCAAAAAAAAAAAAAGAAAGAAAGAAAAAAAGAATTACCATTAGGCAAAAAGTTGACTTTTATTATCTTTTATACTTTACGTAAGTAGTCTCATCTTATTTCCAAACCTGAAGCATTAACTCTTCAAATTAGTATTAGCTTAAATTTTGGATAAATGCTTAAAATAATTATTGTCAGGAATACACAATCTGGCCTGTAAGGCAGAAATTTGTTAATGAAAAGGCTATAGTAAATAAATAAATTGTTCTCTTAAACCCTTGCCCATTTCAACAGTCATTCATTTTGCAAACATTTACTGAGATCAATTATGTTTTTAGCAGAGTAAAAGATGACTGCTGTTGGTCAGTAATAAGAATTCAGATGCCAGGTTCAGTGGCTCACACCAGTAATCCCAGCACTTTCGGAGACTGAGGAGGGTGGATCACCTGAGGTCAGGAGTTTGAGAGCAGCCGGACCAACATGGAGAAACCCTGTCTCTACTAAAAATATAAAATTAGCCCAGCATGGTGGTGCATGCCTGTAATCCTAGCTACTCGGGAGGCTGAGGCAGGAGGTAGTAGAATCACTTGAACCCAAGAGGCAGAGGTTGCAGTGAGCTGAGATCGCACCATTGCACTCTAGCCTGGGCAACAAGAGCAAAAAAAAAAAAAAAAAAAAATTCAGCATCTCATCGTGCAATCATGTTTTTTAAATCTACACCTTTTATTTTTAAAACAACCGTGTTTTGAGAAAATGTTAATTTCTGTGTATCATTAGAAATTAACATTTCTAATTGCTCCACATTGCTCTGATTGCTCTAATATGTGGACTAGTAATAATAGTTCTCATTTGTGTGTTACTTTATGTCAGATGCCATACTGCTTGCTTTATGTACTTCCCAATCTATAGAGTAGATACTGCTCTCAATTCATTGGGTTGTTATAATGGTTGGGTGTGACCACTTATAAGTATTGCTTAAATTTTTGGCACAAGCTTGTATAAGCCCTGGTTATAGTTTTAGCTAATTCTCTCAAAAACCTAATAAAGTAGGTATTAACACTCCTTTTTTTTTTTTTTTGGAACAGGGTTTCACCATGTTAGCCAGGCTGGTCTTGAACTCCTGACCTGTGATCCACCTGCCTCGGCCTCCCAGAGTGCTGGGATTACAGGTGTGAGCCACCATACCTGGCCTAACTCTTTTCTTTTTTTAATGACGAGGTCTCACCTTGTTGGTCAGGCTGGTTTCAAACTCCTGACTTCAGGTGATCCACCCGCCTCAGCCTCCCAGAGTGCTGGGATTACAGGCATGAGCCACCGTGCCTGGCTCTTTTTTTATTTTTTTTGAGACAGAGTCTTGCTTTGTCGCCAGGCACCAGGCTGGAGTGCAGTGGCACGATCTCGGCTCACTGCAACCTCCACCTCCTGGGTTCAAGCAATTCTTCTGCCTCTGCCTCCCAAGTAGCTGGGACTACAGGCCTGCACCGTGCCCAGCTGATTTTTGTATTTTAGTAGAGGTGGGGTTTCACCATGTTGGCCAGGATAGTCTCAATCTCTTGACCTTGTGATCTGCCTGTCTCAGCCTCCCAAAGTGCTGGGATTACAGGCATGAGCCACCACATCCGGCCTCTCACTCTTTTTTTTTTTTTTTTTTTTTTAATAGAGACCGAATCTTACTATGTTGGCCAGGGTGGTCTCAAAGTCCTGGCCCCAAGCAGTCCTCCTGCCTTGGCCTCCCAAAGTTCTGGAATTACAGGCATGAACCTCTGCACCTGGCCAGTATCACCATATTTTTCACAAGAGGAAACAGAGTTCAAAAATCAGTTTGCTCTGCCAACCATGGTGGCTCACACCTGTAATCCCAGCACTTTGGGAGCCCAAGGTGGGCCAAGGTTGAGGATTACCTGAGGTCAGGAGTTCAAGACCAGCCTGGTTAATGTGACAAAACCCTGTCTCTCCTAAAAATACAAAAATTAGCTGGGCAGGGTGGCATGCCCCTTTAATCCCAGCTACTTGGGAGGCTGAGGCACAAGAATTTTTGAACCTGGGAGGCGGAGGTTGCAGTGAGCCAAGATTGTGCCACTGCACTCCAGACTGAACAACATAGTAGGACTCTGTCTCAAAAAAAAGGAGAGAGGACAAGGAGGGAGGATTGCTTCAGCCCAGGAGTTTGATACCTGATAAGGCAACATAGTGAGACCTTGTCTCTATTGTAATTAAAAAAAAAAAAAAAATCAGTTTGCTAAAGGTCATATAGCTATGTAGTGAAAGAGTAAAGATTTCTTAAAAACTTTAAAGAAGTGCTGGGATGACAGTAAACCACTATGCCTGGCCTCTCTTTATATTTTTACTATCTGAGCACTAGAGTTTAATTTTTTCTTTTTTTTTTTTTTCTTTTTTTGAGGCAGATTCTTGCTTTACTGTCCAGTCTGGAGTGCTGTGGTGCGATATTGGCTCATTGCAACCTCTGCCTCCCGGGTTCAAGTGATTCTTGTGCCTCAGTCTCCCAAGCAGCTGGGACTACAGGCATGTGCCCAGATACCCAGCTATCTTTTTGTATTTTTAGTAGAGACAGAGTTTTGCCATGTTGGCCAGGCTGGTCTCGAACTCCTGGCTTCAACTGATTCACCCACCTACCTTCCCAAGGTGTTGGGATTACAGGTGTGAGCCACTGCACCTGGCTGTCTGTTTACACTTTGTATAAATTTGTACAGTTTGGATTCTTTTGAGTCTGTCTTCTTATATCATATGTTAAATGAAGCTGTAATTTATCCTTTTTTATTACCATGAATATTCCACTGTATTCTATACCACAAATTTCTGTTGTACTTCCATGTTATTTCCAAATTTGAGGATACTGCAAATAATGCTTCTGAGCACAGTGGCTCCTTCCTACAATCCCAGTGCTTTGGGAGGCTGAGGTGGGTTTTTGTAGAAGTGGTGTTTCACCATGTTGCATGAGCCACCATGCAAAGATGGCTGGGCGCAGTGGCTCATGTCTGTATTCCCAGCACTTTGGGAGGCCATGGCGGGCAGATCACTTGAGGTCAGGAGTTTGAGACCAGTCTGGCCAACATGGTGAAACTCCACTTCCTCAAAAATATAAAAATTAGCCGAGTGTGGTATTGCCCATCTGTCCAGCTACTTAGAAGGCTGAGGTGGGAGAATTTCTTGAACCTTGGAGGCATAGGTTGTGGTGAGTCAAGATGGTGCCACTGTACTCCAGCCTAGACAACAGAGTGAGACTCCATCTCAAAAAAAAAAAAAAGAGAGAATCTCCCTCTGTTGCCTAGGTTAAAGTACAGTGGCACAATTATAGTTTCCTGCAGCCTTGAATTCCTGGGCTCAATTGAGCCCCCTATCTCAGCTTCCCAAGTAGCTGGGACTAAGATATGCGCCACCATACATGGCTAATTTTTGTATTTTTTGTAGAGACAGGGTTTCACCATGTTGCCCAGGCTGGTCTCAAACTCCTGAGCTCAAGTTATCTGCCTGCCTTGGCCTCCCAAAATGCTGGGATTATAGGTATGAGTCACCGTGCCTGGCCCTAGCTAATTTTAAAAAATTTCTTGTAGATATAGATTCTTGCTATGTTGTCCTGCCTGGCTGTTCTCAAATTCCTGGCCTCAAGCAGTCCTTCCACCATGGCCTCCAAAAATGCTGGCTCATGCCTGTATTCCCAGCACTTTGGGAGGGCATGGCGGGCAGATCACTTGAGGTCAGGAGTTCAAGACGAGCCTGGCTAACACGGTGAAAGATGTGAGCCACTTCAGCTGGTCAGCTTGATTATTCTTTACCCCCTTGTTGATTCTCTGATTCTTAAAGAAGCTTGTTAAAAATGTTTTGACAGTCTTTCTTAGTTCTGAGCTGGAAAGTAGTCTGAATGACCTCGTCTGTCATTAACTGGAACTTATTTGAGGAGCCATGATTTGAATTCAACTGTATCTTAACTTTAAGATCTATGCTTTTAACCATGTATTTTATGTATTAATCCATTTTCACACTCCTGATAAAGACACACCCAGACTGGGCAATTTAAAAAATAAAGAGGTGGCCAGGCGCGGTGGCTCAAGCATGTAATCCTAGCACTTTGGGAGGCCGAGGCGGGTGGATCACGAGGTCAAGAGATCGAGACCATCCTGGTCAACATGGTGAAACCCTGTCTCTACTAAAAATATAAAAAATTAGCTGGGCATGGTGGTGTGTGCCTGTAATCCCAGCTACTCGGGCGGCTGAGGCAGGAGAATTGCCTGAACCCAGGAGGTGGAGGTTGCGGTGAGCCGAGATCACGCCATTGCACTCCAGCCTGGGTAACAAGAGCGAAACTCTGTCTCAAAAAAAAATAATAAATAAAGAGGTTTTATTGGACTCACAATTCGACGTGGCTGGGGAGGCTTCACAATCATGGCAGAAGGCAAGGAGGAATAAGTCATGTTTTACATGGATGGCAGCAGGCAAAGAGAAGAGAGACCGTGCAGCAAACTGCTATTTTAAAAACCATTTATTCACTATCACAAGAACAGCATAGGAAAGTCTTGCCCCTATGATTCAGTTACCTCCAGCCAGTTCCCTCCTACAACACATGGGAATTCAAGATTTCAAGATGAGATTTGGGTGAGGTCACAGCAACCGTATCATTATACTTATTATACTTTGTTGTATTAAATCTAACATAAAGAGTAAAATATTTATGAATCGGACCATAAAAGTAAACATTATTTTATCCTTTATATTTTTTATATTTTACAGGGCAAAAGTCCCAAGACAAAATTTTAAGGCTTGTATTCTATTTTTTGTTCTGCAGTGAAGCAAATAAGCAACATGTAAGATGTCAGAAATGCCTGGAATTTGGACATTGGACTTATGAATGCACAGGAAAAAGAAAATACCTACATAGGCCCTCAAGGACAGCAGAACTAAAAAAAGCTTTAAAAGAAAAAGAAAACAGATTATTATTACAACAAAGGTAGGTTTACATGTGTTATCCAAAGGAATATTTTTTAAAATGTATATTTATAGAATTTATTAAAGGACTAAATGTTTCATGGTGGTTCTCCAGATTTTAATTATATTATTACGAATGTTTAATGGACGCTTGCTATGTGCCAAACACTGTTCTAGGGTCTTTATAAGTATTAGCTTATTTAAACCTGACATCTACACTATTAAGGTAGGTAATATTACTGTCTTTTTACATATGAAGAAACTGAAGCAAGGAAATATTGAACGATTTACTCATTGTTACACAGCTAGTAAGAAGAAAAAAATAATCATTAAATCATGCAGCCTGTGCCCCAGATTCATTGTCTTAATCATTTTGCTCTGTTGCCTCAACTGTCAATGAAATGACAGTTGAATTAAGAGATAGATTATATGAGCTGACATAGAAAGCTTTATATATCAGGTATATAAAGAAGGTAGGGAACAGAATATATAATATGCTGTGATTTATGTTTATAAAAAGAAAAATTGGCTGGGTGCAGTGGCTCACACCTGTAATCCCAACACTTTGGGAGGCCGAGGCGGGTGTATCACATAAGTCCAGGAGTTCAAGACCAGCCTGGCCAACATGGTGAAACCCCATCTCTACTAAAAATACAAAAATTAGCAGGGTGTGGTAGTGTGTGCCTGTAATCCCAGCTAGTCAGGAGGCTGAGGCAGGAGAATCGCTTGAATCCAGGAGCTGGAGGTTTTGGTGAGCCAAGATTGTGCCACTGCACTGCAGCCTGGGCAATAGAGCAAGACTCTGTCTCAAAAAAAAAAAAAAAAAAAGGAAAAGAAGCAGCATCTTCATAAAGGTTATTAGTTATATAATAGTGTCTTAAATATTTAGGCTTTCAAGGCAGCAGTCTTCCAATCTGCTGGACATGAAACTTCTTCAAAAGTTGTACAGGAATAGGTAAATAACCAATTTCTAAATTATCAACATTCATATGCAATTTTTCCTAAAACAAATCTAGATGAGAACTTCCCTACTGGTCTGCTTTTATACTTCCGCTTTTCCAACAAACCTTCTCTAATCTCACAAAAGAAAGGTATACCTCTCGCCTATCTCTAATACTTTAGTGTGTTGTCCTCATGTATAAATACCTAGATGGTTTTTCAAAATAGTGGTATTTGTATTGAGAAAGTAAATGGCCATAATAGTTTTGTTTGTTTTGAGACAGGTTCTCACTAGGTCTCACTGTGTCACCCAGGCTGGAGTGCAGTCTCTTCTCACTGCAACCTCCAACTCCTGGGCTCAAGTGATCCTCCCACCTCAGCCTCCCAAGTAGCTGAGACTTCAGGTGCATACCACGATGCCTGGCTTATTTTTTGCATTTTTTGTAAAGACAAGATTTTGCCATGTTGCCCAGGCTGGTCTCAAACTTCTGAGCTCACGCAATCCACCTGCCTCAGCCTCCCAAAGTGTTGGGATTATAGGTGTGAGCCACTATGCCCAGCTGGCCATGATTTTTGAGAGTAAGTTCTTTTTTTTTTTTTTTTCTTTGAGATGGAGTTTCGCTGTTGTTACCCAGCTGGAGTGCAATGGCGCAATCTTGGCTCACCGCAGCCTCCACCTTCTGGGTTCAAGCAATTCTCCTGCCTCAGCCTCCCAAGTAGCTGGGACTACAGGTGCCCACCACCATGTCCAGCTAATTTTTGTATTTTTAGTAGAGACGGGGTTTCACCTTGTTGACCAGGATGGTCTCAATCTCTTGACCTTGTGATCCACCTGCCTTGGCCTCCCAAAGTGCTGGGATTATAGGAGTGAGCCACTGTGCCCAGCCTGAGAGTAAATTCTTTTTTAAGGTTTTTCCCCCAACAAAATTGGTGGGGGACCTAATTGAATTGTCAATTTAAAAATATTTTTTACTGATATATTCTTATATGACTTGTGGAATGTAACATAGAAGGAATGCAGAGAATTGAGTGATACTGAAGTAAGAAGTCTTTCCATTTCCATGATTCTATTTAGGTTAAGGTTTCTCCAGGTTAAATCTATAAAACTGTAAAATAATTTAATTCCCAAAGAGCCATCTCTATTGAAAAAATAAAATTTAAAAATAGGAATTTAGCCAGGCGTGGTAGCTCACGCCTGTAATCCCAGCACTCTGGGAGGCTGAGGCAGGCAGATCACAAGGTCAGGAGTTCAAGACCAGCCTGGCTAATATGGTGAAACCCTGTCTCTATGAATAATACCAAAAAAATCAGCTAGGCATGATGGCACATGTCTGTAGTCCCAGCTACTTGAGAGGCTGAGGCAGAAGAATCGCTTGAACCTAGGAACAGAGGTTGTAGTGAGCCGAGATTGTGCCACTGCACTCCAGCCTGGGCGACAGAATGAGACTCTGTCTCAAAAAAAAAAAAGAATTTAATTGATGTCAAACCTGGTCACATTCTACTCTGAAGTTTTTATTTATGGATATATAAACTAGAAAAAAAATCTGTCATTAGGAAATACATTTCTGGACCAGGCACAGTAGCTCATGCCTGTAATCCCAGTACTTTGAGAGGCTGAAGTGGGTAGATCACTTGAGGTCAGGAATTCGAGACCATCCTTTCCAACACGGCAAAACGCCATCCCTACTACACGTATAGAAATTAGCTGGGTGCAGTGATATGCACCTGTAATTCCAGCTACTCAGGAGGCTGAGGCAGGAGGATCACTTGAACGTGGGAGGCGGAAGTTGCAGTGAGCTGAGATAACACCACTGCACTCCAGCCTGGGAGATAGAGTGAGACTCTTACACACATACATGCACACACAGATATATGTTACCAATAAAGTAACAGTTATTAAAATTTATAATATTGTCCAGCTGCGGTGGCTCACACCTGTAATCCCAGCACTTTGGGAGGCCAAGACAGGAGGATCACTTGAGGCCAGTGCAACATAGCAATATTCTGTTCCTATTAAAAAAAAAAAAAGTTAGCTGGATGTGGCAGCGCATGTCTGTGATCCCAGCTACTTGGGATACTGACTTGGAGGATTGCTTCAACCCAGGAGGTCAAGGTTACAGTGAGCTGTAATTGCACCATTGTACTCCAGCCTGGGTAAGAGAATGAGACCCTGTCTCAAAAGAAGAATTGTTAAACTTTTTCTTTTTTTTGGGATGGAGTCTCACTCTGTTGCCCAGGCTAGAGTGCAGTGATGCGATCTCGGCTCACTGCAACCTCTGCCTCCTGGGTTCAAGCCATTGTCATGCCTCAGCCTCTCGAGTAGCTGGGACTACAGGTGTGCACTACGGAGCCCAGCTAATTTTTTGTATTTTTAGTAGAGATGGGGTTTCACCATGTTAGCCAGGATGGTCTCAATCTCCTGACCTTGTGATCTGCTCGTGTCAGCCTTCCAAAGTGTTGGGATTATAGGTGTGAGGCAACATACCCGAAGTTTACTTCCCTCTCTTGTTTTTTTTTTTTTTTTGTCCTACATGTAAAGATCCCCCTCTTATTTTACTCCCAAAATGACAATTCGGTAAGGAATTCCATTGTGTAAAAAACTTTACATAAATACACATTTATGTTTGGAGACTCAGGAAATAAACACAGAAACAGAATCTAGGAAATATAGAAAGGGCCAGAATATAAAAACGTTGGCCACGTGTGGTGGCTCACACCTGTAATCTCACACTTTGAGAGGCTGAGCAGCTTGCTTGAGCTCAGGAGTTCCAGATCAGCCTGGGCAACATGGTAAAACCCCGTCTGTACAAAAAAATGCAAAAATTAGCTAGGGGTGGTGGTAAACACTTGTAGTCCCAGCTACTCAGGAGGCTGAGGTGGGAGGGTTGCTTGAACCTGGGAGGCAGAGGTTGCAGTGAGCCAAGATCGTGCCACTGCACTCCAACCTGGGTAACAGTGATACCCTGTCTCAAAAAGAAAAAAAAGAAGTTAAATTTACAGGACTGAGGTGATATAATTAATTCTGGGGGGTTTTGTTGTTGTGTTGTTTTGAGACAGTCTTGCTCTGTCTCAAGCTGGAGTTCAGTGGCACTATCTTGGCTCACTGCAACCTCTACCTCTCAGGTTCAATAGATTCTTCCACCTTAGTCTTTCAAGTAGCTGGGACTAAGGCGTGTGCCACCACGCCTGGCTAAATTTTATATATTTTTAGGAGAGACCAGGTTTCACCGTGGCCAGCCTGGTCTCAAACTCCTGACATCAAGTGATCTGCACGCCTCAGCCTCCCAAAGTGCTGGGATTACAGCTGTGAGCTACCGCACCTGGCCTAATGCTGTAATTTAAAAACCTGATTTAGCATGCATGTTGTTTGGCAGCATAGCAGCAGCAAGCCATTTGTTCCTTTCATTCAAATTTACCAGACTTTGTTCTTTATAAATAATGTGAGTGAGGCCAGGTGCAGTGGTTTATGCCTGTAATCCCAGCACTTTGGGAGGCCAAGGGGGGCAGATTACCTGAGGTCAGAGTTCAAGACCAGCTTGGCCAACATGGTGAAACCCTGTCTCTACTAAAAAATGCAAAAATTAGCTGTGCATAGTGATGGGCATTTGTAATCCCAGTTATTTGTGAGGCTGAGGCAGGAGTATTGCTTGAACCCAGGAGACAGGTTGCAGTGAGCCAAGATCTCACCACTGCACTCAAGCCTGGGCAATAGAGTGAGACTTCGTCTCAAAAAAAAATAAGAATAATGTGAATGAACGTAGTCTTGAAGTATTAAATTTCTGGTCTTTAAGGAGTAAATAACTCAACAGTCGGGGGGGCATGTGGAAAAATAAATAGGTCTTTTTAAATTAAAGATCTGTTTTTGAAAAATTACGAAATGGCTGTTTATATGATTCTGTGAACTCAAACTACAAATTATAGCTCTTGTGCTATTTGCTTTGTTCTGTTATTCAGTAAGTAGTGATGTAGCTATGTCAGTTTAAGTTCCTGACTAAAACAATTTAATTATCTTAACTACTAACATACCTGACTTTCATACAGGTGATAAGTCTGTCTTAGATGCTGGTTAAATTGACTGCATGTACCATATACAGCCTACAATAGCATACTTTCCACTTGCTTATAACAAAAACTACTGTACTCTACATGTTATAAAAACGCAGAATGTTTCTTCAATATAAAATGGTTTTGGGGATAGCAGAAGGGTTTGTCTGAGCTGTGTATAATCACTCTATTAACAGGAGTTTTTCCCCCTTCATGTTTATCAGCATTGGAGAGACCACTGTAGAAAGAAAGACCAAGAAAAAAAGGTATGTGTGGTTTTGGGAGTACTTTACAGATAATATGTAATGCTAATTGGAGGGATGGGAAAGGTGATTTTAAAATAATAGCTGTAAGATTTGGATCTGAAGTCTCTTATTGCAATTCATAATTAAATAATCCTATTTTCTGATAACTTCCTTATTTTAACCTGTCTGGAATGTATTGCTTCCATTTCTCCTTTTACTCAACTTTCTAGAGTCCTTATACCTGGAAACAATAAATAATTGTCTTCCTTTGGCTTAAAATAGGAAATGTTAATAGACTGCTAAGAAATTGTTGGCCAACCATATCTGGTCCAAAGTAGTTAAAATAAAGATGATGAAATAGTAACAAGCTATATGAGGTTTAAATAGAGCCAGTTGTTACACTGCAGCTTTATTCTAACATTATCACCTCTGAAATGTAATATAGTAGATACTCTTATCTTGAATTCCAACCAAGAGAATTAAGTTGCTGAAGCAACAATATCTTACAAAGAGAGGAGTGTAGTTTACAGCAGTTAGGCAATCCCCAAAACATCAAACCAAAGGATAACATGCTAGTAAAGCTCAGTATATACATATATATATATAATCGGAATCATGTAAAATTGCTTTTGGCCAGGCACGATGGCTCATGCCTGAAATCCCAGCACTTTGGGAGGCCGAGGCAAGTGGATCACTCAGTCAGGAGTTCAAGACCAGCCTGGCCAACATGGTGCAACCCCGTCTCTACTAAAAATACAAAAATTAGCTGGGCGTAGGTACACGCGCATGTTATCCCAGGTACTTGGGTGGCTGAGGCAGGAGAATTGCTTGAACCTGGGAGGCAGAGGTTACAGTGGGTCAAGATTGCGCCACTGCACTCCAGCCTGGGCGACAGAGCAAGACTCCATCTTAAAAAGAAAATAAAAAAGAAATTGCTTTTAACATTCTATTAAATGTGCCTTCCAATATATTTAATTGTGTATTGTCTAATAGGTCTAAGAGTGTAACCAGTTCAAGTAGCAGTAGCAATGGCAGTTCAGCCAGTGATTCTTCATCAGAAAGTGAAGAAACATCTACCTCATCCTCCTCAGAGGACAGTGACACTGATGAAAGCTCCTCTAGTTCCTCATCCTCAGCCTCCTCCACAACCTCATCCTCCTCCTCTGATTCAGACTCAGATTCCAGTTCTTCTAGTAGCAGCAGCACCAGCATGGATAGCAGCTCTGAGGATGAACCACCAAAGAAGAAGAAAAAGAAATAGTTGTTCCATCCATATTGGACTGATGGACCGAAAACATTAATGTGATTCTTGAAAGGGAATTTAGAATATGTTAAGGCCAAATAGGTTAACTGGTGAAAATTTTTAGAATTCAAAAGTTTCTAAATGTTTTATATTGCAAGAGCATAAAGAGTATTAATAATGAATTATATATAGAGAGAGACTTTTTTATTTGAAGGGTGAATCCTGTTTTTCATTTTTTTCTTTAAAATATCTCTCTAGAACTTAAAGCTGAAATCTCCAAATCTGTTTGTGTGATGAAACTATCTTTTCTTTCTGTGAAATAAATGCCATACTTTGTTATATATGTTAGTGGTATATACCAGACATATTTTCAGGATGGTGCATCAGAATATTTGGCAGTGAATTTCTAATGCTTTTGGCTATGAATTATGTAAGATTTAATATATTGTTACTGTAAGCATAGGAGTTTTCCTATTGTTAATAAATGTGCTCTATTTTTACATTTATGTTCAGAAAGTTATTCTGACTTTTTGTCCTAAGTGGTATGTTCAAGGAGCCTATTAATATATTTATAGTTTTTGAATGCTACAAGTTTCAAGTTGCTGTGTTACATCATTCATTTTCTTCTGGTTCCTTAAGTTTTTCAAGTTATCCTTTTATAAGGAAAATTTTTCTAGAGGAACCTAAAAAGGGAGAAAAAATCTGAAACTACTTAGGAGTGTAATCTTGGTGCCTTCCGATAGTCAGTGTATCAGTAAAGAAAGCAGCCATGTAAGAGGCTAACTTAAGCAGAAGTACTAGAAATATCTTCGTGTATTAACATGCAATAAAAGGTACCATTCAAAGCAGGGGAAAGGTAGGAGGAAGAGGTAATTTTTACTGCAAATTAGGGCAGCCTTGGTCACCTTTTATTAAAAGCTTTTTTAAGCTTTCATAAAGATTGCCTTTTGTTATTTTTGCAATTATTATAGTATAGTTTATATGCTAACTAGTCATTTAACAGTCTAGTGCATAAATATGAATGACTAGGATTAATCTGGTGTGGTTACATAGGATATACATAGTTGAAATCTAGCATGAAAGGCTAAAAAGAAAATGCTGCACAATATTTCTTTAAAAATAAAATGTTACTGAGGCAAGAGTCTTTGGTTTAACATCACAGTATTCTGTGATGTCTTTTTAACTTTTTGGAAAGAGGTATCATTTGTAGAAAAATTTTGATTTGGGTTAAATACAGGTTTTTAAAACTATAAATGTCTTTTATATTTTTATGAAAAAGCAGTGGAAAATTACTTTTGAAGAAAATTAGCTATTTAAATATTAAAATATACGTATGTTGTGAGTTTAGGGAACCTGTAATTACTTGTCGGTTTTACAAAACCATCTGTGTTCAGTGGTTGTAAATAAATTCTCAAAACAATTTCAAAAGCTGCCTACAGAATATTATCACTTGACAGATAAAGTTAATAAATTACCAATCAGGCACATTTGATAATGTTTGTCTCTGTAAAGGTAATGTGAGCAGTTAAAGAACATGGATGAGAAAAGAATGTGTTAACATAGGTTGCATCACTTGCAGTTAAATAAAACTCAACAATTTGTGCTCACAAGCTTCAGCTTCTGTTATCTCTTTACTGTTTTATTTAATCCCAATTCTTACTCCATTTGAGATGTAAGGGCATTTGAACAAATTCTAATTTTAAAGTTTTACTATTAGGGCTGTTAAAAGTATGACTGGGCCAGATGCAGTGGCTCACACCTGTAATCCCAGCACTGGGAGGCCAAGGTGGGTGGATCATTAGGTCAGGAGTTCGAGACCAACCTGGCCAAGGTGGTGAAACCCCATCTCTACTAAAAAATAAAAATAAATAGCCAAGCACAGTGGTGCCCACCACTGTGATCCCAGTTACTCAGTAGGCTGAGGCAGGAGAATCGCTTGAACCCCAGAGGCAGAGGTTACAGTGAGCCAGGATTGCGCCACTGGGCTCTAGCCTAGGCTAGAGAGCAAGACTCTTGTCTCAAAAAAAGAAAGTATGACTGAGAGGTACAGAGAGCAGGAGCTCAATTCTTCTAGTACATTTCTTTCATTCAAAAAGAATCAGGCTGGTCACAGTGGCTCATGCCTATAATCCCAACACTTTAAGAGGCTCAGATGGGAGAATCACTTGAGTCCAGGAGTGTGAGACCAGCCTGGGCAACATAGTAAGACTTCTTCTCTACAAAAAATTGAAAAATTTGTTGGGCATGGTGGTGTGCCCCTATAGTCTCAGCTACTCAGGAGACTGTGGCAAGAGAATCACTTGAGCTGAGGTGGTTGAGGCTGCAGTAAGCTGTGATTGTGCCACTGCAGTCCAGCCTGGGTGACAGAGTGAGAAAAAACAAAATCAATGGCAAAGTGGATACTAACTTTGAAAAGTTTTGTTTTTAGTCCTGCCTAAAATCAGGACTCTGGAAGTTGAGTCCCTGGCAAATACAGTGAGTATATTACTTAACCGCAATCATATGAGTATATTACATAACTACAGTCATATCAAAAGGAATTGTTAGATGATAGGTTTTCATTACACACACACATTTTGTTATTAATAGACTATACAATATACAGATTTTGCCCTAGAATGAACATACAGCATTAGCCATAACTTAACACTGGAAGTAGAAAAAGTGCAGAGAGTCATATGTATTCTTTTTAAATTTTGAACTGTAGATTTACAGAAAAGTTGTAAAAATAATACAATTCCCTTATAAATAACCTCATCTAGCTTCCCATAGTGTTAACATCTTACATAACCATGGCACGATTGCCAGAATGAAGAAATTAACATCTAGTGAAACACTTTTGGGGGAAGTTCACTCTTACTGCCCAGGCTGGAATGCAATGGCATGATCGTGGCTCACCACAATCTCTGCCTCCTGGGTTCAAGCGACTCTGCCTCAGCCTCCCAAGTAGCTGGGATTACAGGCCTGTACCACCACGCCCAGCTAATTTTATATTTTTAAGAGAGACAAGATTTCACCACACTGGTCAGGCTGGTCTTGAACTCCCAACCTCAGGTGATCCACCCGCCTCAGCCTCCCAAAGTGCTGGGATTACAGGCGTGAGCCACCACGCCCAGCCAAAATACTATTTTTTAAGGATATCCTATTATAGCATAGTAAAATACTATTAAACTGGAAACCTTATTCATATTTTGCTCATTTTCCCACTAGTATCCTTTTTCTGTTCCAGAATACTACCCAGAAAATACATTTAGTTACTTCTACCTTTCTACAGGCGGATCACGAGGTCCCAGCTACTCAGGAGACTGAGACAGGAGAATCACTTGAACCCAGGAGGCGGAGTTTGCGGAGAGTGGAGGTCATGCCACTGCACTCCAGCCTGGGCAACAGAGCGAGACTCCACTGCAAAGAAAAAAAAAAAAATTAACCGGGCACAGTGGCACATGCCTATAATCCCAGTTACTCAAGGCTGAGGCAGTCTCAATACTTCTTCAATGTTACCTTGTTTTTCATGCCCTTGTCACTTTTGAAAAATTATTTTGTCTAACACCCCTCAATTTGGGTTTGTCTGGCTGTGTGCAGTGGCTCGCGCTTCTAATCCCAGCACTTTGGGAGACCAAGGTGGGTGGATCATTTGAGGTCAAGAGTTCAAGACCAGCCTGACTGACATGCTGAAACCCCATCTCTACAAAAAATGCAAAAAAACTAGTGGGGCATGGTGGCACATGCCCGTAGTCCCAGCTAGTCAGGAAGCTGAGGGAGGAAAATTGCTTGAACCTGGGAGGCAGAGGTTGCAGTGAGCCAAGATCTTGCCATTGGACTCCAGCACAGGTGACAGAGCGAAACTGTAAAAAAAAAATTGGTTTTGTCTGATGTTTTCTTGTGTTTGAGGTTATGCTTTCTGGAAGAATATCACCGAAATAAAGTGTCCTCAGTCAATCATATGAGATTCATAATGTTCATATGTCTTCTTTATTACTGGCGATGTTGACCTTGATCACTTGATTAAGGTGGTTCCAGGCTGGGTGCGGTGGTCCATGCCTGTTATTCCAGCACTTTGGGAGGCCAAAGCGTGCAGATTGCTTGAGCTCAGGAGTTTGAGACTGGGCAACATGGCAAAAACCCATTTCTACAAAAAACACAAAAATTATGCCTGGTACAGTGGCTCACGCCTGTAATCCCAGCACTTTGAGAGGCTGAGGTGGGTGGATCACCTGAGGTCAGGAATTTGAAACCAGTCTAGGCAACATGGTGAAACCCTGTCTCTACTAAAAATACAAAAATTAGGCTGGACGCAGTGCCTCAAGCCTGTATCCCAGCACTTTGGGAGGCCAAGGTAAGCGGATCACGAGGTCAGGATATAGAGACCTTCCTGGCTAACACAGTGAAACCCTGTCTCTACTAAAAATACAAAAAATTAGCCAGGTGTGGTGGTGGGCACCTGTAGTCCCAGCTACTCAGGAGACTGAGACAGGAGAATCATTTGAACCCAGGAGGCAGAGTTTGCGGAGAGTGGAGGTCATGCCGTTGCACTCCAGCCTGGAAGTGCAACAGCCTGGAAGGGCAACAGAGCGACACTCCACTGCAAAAAAAAAAAAAAAAAAAATTAACCGGGCACAGTGGCACATGCCTATAATCCCAGTTACTCGGAAGGCTGAGGCAGGAGAATTGCTTGAACCTGGGAGGTGGAGGTTGTGCCATTGCATTCCAGCATGGGTGACAGAAAGAAACTCTGTCTCCAAAAAAAAACCATATATATATATATATATATATATATATATATATATATATATATTAACCAGGTGTGGCTGGGTGCAGTGGCTCATGCCTGTAATCCTAGCACTTTGGGAGGTCAAGGCAGGTGGATCACGAGGTCAGGAGTTCAAGACCAGCCTGACCAACATGGTGAAACCCCATCTCTACTAAAAATACAAAAATTAGCTAGGTATGGTGGTGGGAGCCTGTAATCCCAGCTACTCAGGAGGCTGAGGCAGGAGAATCTCTTGAACCTGGGAGGTGGGGGTTGCAGTGAGCCAAGACCAGCCCTTGCACTTCAGCCTAGACGACAGAGTGAGACTCATGCCTAAAAAAAAAAAGAAAGAAAGAAAAATTAGCCAGGCATAGTAGTGTGCATTTGTAGTCTCAGCTACTGGGGAAGAATAGGTGAGAGGATAGCTTGAATAGGTAGGAGGAGGACCAGGCTACAGTGAGCTGAGATTGTGCCACTGCACTCTAGATTGAGCAAAAGTGCCAGACCTTGTTTCAAAAAAAAAAAAAAGCCAAGCATGTGACATCGCTTGAGCCCAGGAAGTCCAGGCTTCAGTGAGCTGAGATCAAGCCACTGCACTGTAGCCTGCTTGACAGAGTGAGACCTTAACTCAAAAAAAAAAAAAAGGTTATAATCAGATTTTTCCACTGTAGGTTACTACCTTTTCCTTTTTAGCTAATAGATAATTTAGGGGACATATTTTGAGAATATGCAACTTGTTTCTCCTCAAACTCACTAGTTTTAGTGAATCAGTGGAGCTTATCTACAATAATTATTACTATACTATCATCCTTTCCAAACCATGGCTTTATTTCCTTTTTTTTTTTTTTTTTTTTTTTTTTTTGGTAGAGATGGGGTTCACCATGTTGGCCAGGATGGTCTCAATCTCTTGACCTCGTGATCCATGAGCCTCGGCCTCCCAAAGTGCTGGGATTACAGGTGTGAGCCACCGCACCCGGCCTTCTTTTCTTTTTTATTTTTTTGAGGAGTCTTGCTCTGTCACCCAGGTTAGAGTGTGGCGGCATGATCTCAGCCCACTGCAACCTCCACCTCCCAGGTTTAAGTGATTCTCCTGCCTTAGCCTCTCAAATAGCTGGGATCACAGGTGCCCACCACGAGGCCTAGCTAATTTTTTTATTTTTAATAGAAACGGGTTTTCGTCATGTTGGCCAGGCTCATCTCGAACTCCTGACCTCAGGTGATTCCCCCCAACCTCAGCCTCCCAAAGTTCTGGGATTACAGGTGTGAACCACCATGCCCAGCCCCAAATCAGGGTTTTTGTTGTTTGAGCTGGAGTTTCACTCTTGTTGCCCAGGATGGAGTACAGTGGCACAATCTCGGCTCACTGCAACCTCCACCTCCTGGGTTCAAGTGATTCTCCTATCTCAGCCTCCTGAGTAGCTGAGATTACAAGCAAGTGCCACCACGTCCAGCTAATTTTTGTCTCTACTAAAAATACAAAAACTGGCTGGGCGCAGAAGCTCACGCCTGTAATCCCAGCGCTTTGGGAGGCTGAGATGGGCGGATCACGAGGTCAAGAGATCGAGACCATCCTGGCCAACATGGTGAAACCCCACATGCTCTACTAAAAATACAAAAATTAGCCGGGTGTGGTGGCATGCACCTGTGGTCCCAGCTACTCGGGAGGCTGAGGTGGAAGAATCGCTTGAACCCAGGAGACGGAGGTTTCAGTGAGCCGAGATTGCGCCACTGCACTCCAGCCTGGTGACAGAGCAAGACTCCGTCTTAAAAAAAAAAAAAAGATACACTGGGCGCGGTGGCTCAAGCCTGTAATCCCAGCACTTTGGGAGGCCGAGGCGGGTGGAGCACGAGGTCAAGAGATCGAGACCATCCTGGTCAACATAGTGAAACCCCGTCTCTACTAAAAATACAAAAAAATTAGCTGGGCGTGGTGGCGCGTTCCTGTAATCCCAGCTACTCAGGAGGCTGAGGCAGGAGAATTGCCTGAACCCAGGAGGCGGAGGTTGTAGTGAGCCGAGATCGCGCCATTGCACTCTAGCCTGGGTAACAAGAGCGAAACTCCGTCTCAAAAAAAAAATTAGCCGGGCATGGTGGTGCATGTCTGTAATTCTAGCTACTTGGGAGGCTACGACAGGAGGATAGACATTTTCTTTGACAGAAAAAAATAATAATACTGGAAACCAGAACTTGAATTATGGTGCCTTAACTGAAACGAGTTGACCCAAAACACCATTTCAAATTGTACTTTTGTATGCTTCCCTGTAGGTTTTTACACCCTGGGAAAATCGTGCCATAAAGAAATTTAGAGATGTGTTTGTGCCAAAGGGGGAGAAAGGCTTTATCAAAGGAGAAGAGAGAAAGGAAAACCAGTGGGATACCTGGGCTACAGATTCCTTCTCAGTTCAACTTTAGGTGTAGGTGCCCACAGAAGCTGAAGACCTGGAAATTGTCAATGTTTTGAAAGTTTTTTGTGAACCCCCAAGGGTATTTGTGTCTGCTATTCAAAGTAATCAGTAATAACCACAAACATTAACAGAAGTCTTCTTTGGAAGTACTATACAAAGATGTATAAATAATGCTTCAACAGTGGTTTCCTTGGAATTCGCCATCTAGCTGGAGAAACCAGACACACAAAAAACAATGGAAAAGAGAACTTTCCATTAAACATGGTAAACTGAACCCAATGTTCACTATTATTTCCTCCTAAAACCTAAAATGGCAGAAGGAGACAAAAAAACATAAACCCATGAGGCATAGAGATAAAAAGAGGAGATACACTAGTTGGTGTTCTCCAGAGAAGAGAACCAATAGGAGATTTCGTGTGTGTGTGTGTGTGTGTGTGTGTGATATATAAACATACAGATATATGTGAGGATATTTATTGTGGGAAATGGCTCATGCAATTATGGAAGCTGAGAAGTCCCACAGTCTGCTGTCTGCAAGCTGGAGGACAAGAGAGCCAGTGGTATAACTCAGTCTGCGTCCAAAAAGACCTGGGAAGCAGAGAGGCTGCTGGTGTTAAGTCCCAAAATCCAAAGACCCAGGAACCAGAAGCTCCAAAGTCCAAGGACAGGAGAAGATAGATGTTCTAGCTCAAAAAGAAAGAAAGGCCAGGTGTGGTGGCTCATAGCTGTTATCTCTGCACTTTGGGAGGCAAGGTAGGCGGATCACCTGAGTTTGAGACCAGCCTGGCCAGCATGGTGAAACCCCATCTCTACTGAAAATACAAAAATTAGCTGGGTGTGGTGGTGGGAGCCTGTAATCCCAGCTACTCACGAGGCTGAGGCAGGAGAATTGCTTGAACCTGGGAGGTGGAGGTTGCAGTGAGCCAAGGTCACACCATTGTACTCCATCCTCCAACCTGGGCAAGAGCTAGATGCTGTCTCAAAAAAAAAGAATTCTCTCTTCCTCTGCCTATTTCTATTTGGGCTCTCAATGGGTTGTATGATGCCTGGGGGAATGGATCTTCTTTAGTCGGTTTACTGATTCAAATGCTAATCTCTCCCCAAAACATGCAGAAATAGTGTTTTACCAGCTATCTGGGCATCCCTTAGCCCAGTAAAGTTGACACATAAAATTAATCGCCATAGGAGATGAAACAGATGAGAAATGACAACTATACTGGAAGCTGAAAAGTGGATGTTGACTTAAATAACCAAAGAAAGCCAAACCCTAAGCCCACAGTGAGGAAAAGTAAACAGGAAGCAAATCACAGACTCTGAAAAGCCTCCAAACTTGATGGCACCATACACTTCTGCCAGCCAAGGCACAAGGAGGGCTTGAAAGCAGACTGGTAGAAAGTTTATGTAAGAAGATGGACCCCTATGCTCTCCTCTCCTGTTCATGCTGTCTTTAATATTTTTATCATGACATTTTGCAAGTGAATATTAGCAAACATCTATGTTCATTTTTTTTTTCTGGGTTTTTTTTTTTTTTTTTTTTTTTTTGAGATAGGGTCTCATTCTGTTGCCCCAGCTGGAGTGTAGTGGTGTGATCACAGCTCACTGCAGACTTAACCTCCCAGGCTCAAGTGATCTTCCCACCTCAGCCTCCCTAGTAGCTGGGACTACAGGTGTGTGCCACCATGCCTGGCTAATTTTTGTATTTTTTGTAGAAATGAGGTCTCATCATGTTGCCCAGGCTGGTCTCGAACTCCTGGGCTTAAGCCATCCTTCCACCTTGGCCTCACAAAGTGTTGAGATTACAGGTGTGAGATACCACACCCAGCAGGAACATCTATGTTCATGATTAATGAGTATTCCATTATTTATTTATTTATTTATTTTATTTTTTTGAGACAGGATCTCAGTCTGTCCCCACTGGAGTGCAGTGGCACAATCTTGACTCACTGCAACCTCTACCTCCCAGGCTCAAGTGATTCTCCTGCCTCAGCCTCCCAAGTAGCTAGAATTACAGCCACATGCCACTACTGCCCGGCTAATTTTTATATTTTTAGTAGAGATGGGGTTCACCATGTTGGACAGGCTGGTCTTGAATTCTTGACCTCAAGTAATCCAACCACCTTGGCATTCTAAAGTGCTAGGATTGCAGGCATGAGCCACCTTGCCTGGCCCATGATTAATTTAAAATTAAGTAAGAAACAATACAAGTTGCCACATGCTAAGAACCACTTGAAATGGCCAGTCGAGGTGGCTCACGCCTGTAATCCAGCACTTTGGGAGGCCGAGGCAGACAGATCACCTAAGGTCAGGAGTTTGGGACCAGCCTGGCCAACATGGTGAAACCCCTTTTCTACTAAAAATACAGAAAATTAGCTGGGCATGGTGGTGGATGCCTGTAATCCCAGCTACTCAGGAAGCTAAGACAGGAGAATGGCTTGAACCGGGGAGGCAGAGGTTACAGTGAGCCAAGATCACGCCATCTATTCCAAGTGGTTTATTTTTCTTTTTACTGTTGCCCAGGATGAAGATCACGCCACTTCATCCTGGGCAACAGTAAAAAGAAAAATAAACCACTTGGAATAAAGACAGTAAGTAAGGGCCTCATTTCTAAATCTCCAGCTCCGGATATTTCTCTAACAAAAATTTTGGACAAAATCAAGAATGAAAAACCACAGAACTTCTGGGAAACCTTTTAGTGTTTGGACACTGTGCTATATACTTGATAAAGTGATCTCCTTCCTTAAGGGGTCCTGAGGGAGGCTGGTCCAAGTGCAGTGGTGTTTACAACTAATTTATCACAATCACTTACAGATTTCTTTGTTCCTTCACCATTCCCACTGTTTCACTTGACTAGCCTAAAATTAAATAAATAAATAAAAGTCCTGGGGCCAGGCGCACTGGCTCACGCCTGTAATCCTCACTTTAGGAGGCCAAGGCAGCTGAATCATGAAGTCAGGAGATTGAGACCTTCCTGGCCAACATGGTGAAACCCTGTCAACATGGTGAAACAAAAAAAAAGTTGCCGGGTGTGGCGGCATGCACATGTAGTCCCAGCCTTCCAGCTACTTGGGAGGGGAATTGCTTGAACCCGGGAGGTGGAGGTTGCAGTGAGCCAAGATTGCACCACTGCACTCCAGGCAACAGAACAAGACTCCCGTCTCAAAAAAACAAAACAAAACAAAACAAAAGCCCTGAGGGGATTCTGTACTAGGCAAATTCATTAAAAAATCTAGGATCACAAAATATGTAAACCAAAACCACAAGACATCTGCTTGAGGAAAAATCCTCTCTAGTTAGCTGTCTTGAAGGGTCACTGAGCCTGTGGACAGAAGAGAAAACTTACTCCTCAGTCAAACTTTAACAACTGTTATTAAGTAACTGGTCCTGTCCCTTGAGGGTTTACAGGCTATTAGTAAACAATTATAGATTTGTCTTTAAGTGCTGCAAATGTCTTGCTAGAGAGCTTAGAGACTTAAACAATTGCTGAAAGTTTGGTAGAGTCTTCCAGGGGAGGCTGATATGGCTGAGAAATAGCTGTTGGGCCTGGCAGGAAGCCCATTAGTATGGGAGCCTGGCAGGGGTTGAGGCTGCTGGTGATAATTGTTTTATTCTCAAGGGTACAATAGGTCAGGCTAAGGAATTTGTATTTTAATTGGAAGATGACAGGAGAATCTTACATTCAAGAAACATTTAAAACCTTGTCAAGACTAGAAATAAAGAAACCAATTACATGACTCTGTAAGAAGCAGCCAAGCCCTATACTTCAACCAAGAATCAAATGATCTGTGACCCAGATTTTATAATCTCAGTTTGTGTGAGATGGTATCACTTTTCTTTTGGGTCTGTAATACTAATCTAATCCTAAAAAGGCATCATAATCATATTACCAGGCTGGGTGAGGTAGCTCACCCCTATAATCTCAGCACTTTGGGAGGCCGAGATTGATGGATCACCTGACATCTGGAGTTCAAGACCAGCCTGGCCAACATGGTAGAACCCCCGTCTCTACTGAAAACACAAAATTTAGCCACGCATGGTGGCTGGCACCTGTAATCCCAGTTATTTGGGAGGCTGAGGCAGGAGAATCGCTTGAAACCATGAGGCGGAGATTGCAGTGAGCTGAGACTGTACCATCGAAATCCAGCCTGGGTGACAGAGCGTGATTATGTCTCAAAAAAAAAAAGATAAAATTAATAAAACCCTTGATGTTAATTGTGTTTGTAAACATGTATGAAAATACAGAAGGTCGAGCATGGTGGTTCACTCCTATAATCTTAGCACTTTGGGAGGTCCAGGTGGACAGATTCGTTGAGCCCAGGAGTTTGAAACCAACCTGGGCAACATGGCAAAACCCCATCTCTACCAAAAATAAAAAAACTGAGGTGGGAGAATCACCTGAGCTTTGAGAAGTCAAGTCTGCAGCGAGCTGTGATTGAGCTAGTGCACTCCAGCCTGGACAACAGAGTAATACCCCATGTCAAAAAAAAAAAAGAAAGAGGGAAAGAAGAAATATTTTAAACACATATTATATATATATTTAAATATATATGTATAATAATCACAAAATACATAGCTGATCAGCTTGTATTCAACATTGAAATTCAAGGAAAATTCTTTTCACATTTTATTAAATGTGTTGGCTTATTATTATTAAATATATATATATGTGTGTATATATATATATTTTTTTTTTTTTTTTTTTTTGAGACAGAGTCTCACTCTGTAGCCAGGCTGGAGTGCAGTGGCATAATCTCGGCTCTCTGCAACCTCTGCCTCCCGGGTTCAAGTGATTCTCCTGCCTCAGCCTCCCGAGTAGCTGGAACTACAGACATATGCTACCATGTCCAGCTAATTTTGTATTTTTAGTACAGATGGGGTTTCACCATGTTGTCCATGATGGTCTTGATCTCTTGACCTTGTGATCCACCTGCCTCAGCCTCCCAAAGTGCTGGAATTACAGGCGTGAGCCACCATGCCTTGCCATAGGTATGAGAGATATTAAGAAGGTAGAAATGACAGAATTTTGTGATCAGTTGATTACGGTAGTGAGAGAGGTATACCTGGAAAGGTTTTAGGCTCTGTTGTTTGGATGACTGGGTGAATATAAAAATAAAAATACACATTTCAGGCTGGGTGTGTCTGAAATTTTTTTTTTTTTTGAGACTGGATCTAGCTCTGTCACCCAAACTGGAGTGCATTGTCATGGTCTTGGCTCACTGCAACCTCCATTTCCTGGGTTCAAACAATTCTCCTGTCTCAGCCTCCTGAGTCACTGGGATTGTAGGCATGGGCAATCACACCTTGCTAATTTTTATATTTTTAGTAGAGATGAGGGTTTCATCACATTGGCCAGGCTGGTCTCGAACTCCTGACCTCAAGTGATCTGCCCACCTCAGCCTCCCAAAGTGCTGGGATTACAGGTGTGAACCACTGCACCCGGCTACCAAGGTAGTTCACATTCTACACTATAAAACAAGTCTCGGCCAGGCGTGGTGGCTGACACCTGTAATCCCAGCACTTTTGGAGGCAAAGGTAGGCAGATCACAAGGTAAAGACATCGAGACCAGCCTGGCCAACATGGTGAAACCCCATCTCTACTAAAATACAAAAATTAGCCAGGCGTGGTGGCGCGTGCTTGTGGTTCCAGCTACTCAGGAGGCTGAGGCAGGAGAATCACTTGAACCCAGAAGGTGGAGGTTGCAGTGAGCCAAGATCGCACCACTCACTGCACTCCAGCCTTGCTACAGAGCAAGACTCCATCTAAAAAAAAAAAAATTAAAACAAGTCTCAATAAATACGAAAAGGTTCAAGTCATACAAGATATAGTGCTCAACCATGGTGGAATTAAATTAGAGATCAGTAACGGAAACATATCTGGAAAATCCTCCACTATATGGAAACTAAATAAGATACTTCTATGTAATCCATGGTCAAAGAAGAAATCAAAATGAAAATTAGAAAGCATTTTTAACTGAATAAGACAAAAACAAAACATATTAATATTTGTGAAATGCTGCTAAAGTAATACTTAGAAGAAGAAATTTATGTTGGGGTAAAGTCTTAAATCAATGACTGCAGCATTCATCTTAAGAAACTGGAAAAATAGTTTGGGTGTGGTGGCTCACTCCTGTAATCCTAGCACTTTGGGAGGCTGAGGCAGGAGGATCACCTAAGATCAGGAGTTTGAGACCCGCCTGACCAACATGGAGAAACCCCCTCTCTACTAAAAACACAAAATTAGCGAGGTGTGGGCGTGCATGCCTTTAATCCCAGCTACTCGGGAGGCTGAGGCAAGAGAATCATTTGAACCTGGGAGGCAGAGGTTGTGGTGAGCCAAGATTGCATCATTGCACTCCAACCTGGGCAACACGAGCAAAACTCTGTCTCAAAAAAAAAAAAAAAAAAGAAAGAAAGAAAAAGAAAAAAAAAACTAGAGAAATGAAAGCAAATAAATCCCAAAATAAGAAAAGAAAGAAAAATAAAGATCAGGGCCGGGTGTGGCAACTCGAGCCTGTAATCCCAGCACTTTTGGAGGCCAAGGCGGGTGGATCAAGACCATTTTAGCCAACACGGTAAAACCTTGCCTCTACTAAAATACAAAAAATTAGCTGGGCATGTTGGCCCGTGCCTGTTGTTCCAGCTACTTGGGAGGCTGAGGCAGGGGGAATCTCTTCAACACGGAAGGCAGAGGTTGCAGTGAGCTGAGATTGTGCCACTGCACTCCAGCCTGGCAACAGAGTGAGACTCTGTCTCAAAAAAATAAAAAAGATCAGAGCAGAAATCAATGTAATAGAAGATGAAAAAACAATAAAGTCAATGAACCCAAAGGATGGTTCTGAGAAGATTAGTAAAACTGATAAACCTCTAACCATAATGCCCAGGATAAAAAAAGAGAGAGGACACAAATTACCAACATTAGGAATGAGAGAGGTGCTATGGCTACAAATTCCCAGATACTAAAAGAACACAAAGAAAACAATATGAACAACTTTACTCATTTAATAAATTAAACAGGCAGGGTGCTGTGGCTTACACCTATAATCCCAGCACCTTGGAAGGCTGAGGCAGGAGAATTGCTTTAGGCCAGCAATTTGAGACTAGCCTGTGCAACATAGTGAGACCTTGCCTCTAGAAAAAATGTTTTCAAAAATAGCCAGGTTTAGTGGTGCATACCTGTAGTCCCAGCTACTTGGAGGCTGAGATGGAAGGACAGCTTGAGCCCAGGAGTCTGAGGCTGAAATGAACTGTGATTGCACCACTGCACTCCAGCCTTGTCAATAGAACAAGACCCTATTTCTTTAAAAAAAAAAAATAAACACATACATACATAAATTAGATGAATGGACAACTTCTTTGAAAGACAAACTACCAAGGCTCACTTAAGAATAAACAGACCGGGTAGGCGCCATGGCTCATGCCTATAATTCCAGCACTTTGGGAGGCTGAGGTGGGTGGATCACTTGACCTCAGGGGTTCTAGACCAGCCTGGGCAAAAAGGTGAAACCCTGTCTCTACAAAAAATACAAAAATTGGCCAGATGTGTTGGTGTATGTCTGTAGTCCCAGCTACTCTGGAGGCTGAGGTGGGAGGATTCCTTGAGCCCAGGAGGTTGAAGTGGCAGTGAGTAAAAATCATGCCACTGCACTCCAGCCAAGGCAACAGAGTGAGACTCTGTCTCAAAAAAAAGAAAAAAAAGAAAAGAAAAAACAAGGCCAGGTGCGGTGGCTCAAGCCTGTAATCCCAGCACTTTGGGAGGCCGAGGCGGGTGGATCACGAGGTCAAGAGATCAAGACCATCCTGGTCAACACAGTGAAACCCCGTCTCTACTAAAAATATAAAAACTTAGCTGGGCATGGTGGTGTGTGCCTGTAATCCCAGCTACTCGGGAGGCTGAGGCAGGAGAATTGCCTGAACCCAGGAGGTGGAGGTTGTGGTGAGCCAAGATCGTGCCATTGCACTCCAGCCTGGGTAACAGCAGCAAAACTCCGTCTCAAAATAAAAAAAAAAAAAAGAAAAGAAAAGAAAGAAAAGAAAAAACAAACACATTTATACACCTAAGGGGAATAAACTTCAAACAGTGAGCAATATAAATTAAATATAGAGTATATCTATACATAAGGACTGGAAATAAAATTGAGTCAATATTTGAAAAATTAGATTTTAGCATTCATTAGCATTTCTCTATCTGTAAATTGCTTAAAGTTATAGTTTGGATTGTGACAACCAGCCTCCAAGATGGTTCCCAGGGATTTTCATTTCCAGTTACTTATGACTTTGTATAGTCCCTTTCCATATGGAATCAGAGCTAACCTATGTGACCAATAGAAAAGTATAAGAATGGCAGTGTGTGACTTCAGAGGTGAGGTCATAAGGGAGTCATTACAGCTTCTGCTTTGTCTCTGGAAACATTTCCAAGGTCTCTTCTGTTGCCCAGGCTGAGTGCAGTGCATGATCATGACTCACTGCAGCTTCGACTTCCCTAAGCTCAGGTGATCTTTTACCCTATCTTCTTACGTAGCTTGGATCTCAGGCTTGCACCACCATGCCCGGCTGATTTTTTGTAATAGCAGTAGGGTCTTGTTATATTGCTCAGGCTGCTCTGGAACTCTTGGGCTTAAGGGATCCTTGGCCTTCCAAAGTGCTGTGATTACAGGCATATGCCAATGTGCCTGGCCCACCAGAATAAATCTTAGAATATTCTGATCACCATGAAAAGAAACCCTGTACCTATTAGCAGTCACTACCCATTTCCAGTGTCCATCCCCCAACCACCCAGCCATAGACAACCACTAAAATCTACTCTCTGTCTCTACAGGTTTGTCTATTGTGGTTATTTAATACAAATGGAATCATAAAATATATTTTCCTTTGTGACTGGCTTTTTTCGCTCAGCATAATGTTTTCGAGGTTTGTTAATATTGCAGCATGTATTAATAATTCATCTCTTTATTACCAAATAATATTTCATGTGTACATACCAATTTCATTTATGCATTCATCAGTTGAAAGACATTTGGATTGTTTTCTATGTTTTGGTTATTATAAGTAATTCTGTAGTTAACATTCATGTACAAGTTTTTGTGTGAATATATGTTTTGAATGTTCTTAGGTGTATACCCAGGTATCAAATTTCTGGATCACATGTTAACTTAGGTATACTCTCAGGAGTAAAATTTCTGGGTCAAATATTTTGAGGAACTGACTGTTTTCCAAAGCAGCTATACCATTTTACACTGTAAACCTACTAGCAATCTGTAAGTGCTCCAATTTCTCCACATCTTCACAACTACTATAGTTTGGATGCTTGTTTCCCCAAGCCTCATATTGAAATTTGATCCCCAGTGTTGGAGGTGGGGCCTACTGGGAGGTGTTTCCGTCATAGGGGCAGATCCCTCATTAATAAATTAATCACCTCCCTGGTTAGGGAGGGAGTGAGTTCTAACTCTATTAGTTTACACAAGAGCTGGTTTCTAAAAAAGCCTGGCACCTCCCCTGCTCTCCTGCTTCCTCTTTTGCCTTGTCAACTCTGCACACATTGGTTCCCCTTTGTCTTCTGTCATGAGTAGAAGCAGCCTGTGGACCCCATCGAAAGCCTAGGAGATGCCAGCACCAGCCTCCTGTACAGCCTGTAAAACCGTGAGAAAAATAAACCTCTTTCCTTTATAAATTGCCTAGTCTCAGGTATTCCTTTATAGCAATACGAACAGACTAAGACACCGGTACTATAAACAAAATCAAGTATCTGTCATTTTGATTATAGTCATCCTAGGGGGTATGAAGTGATACCTCACTGTTTTGATATGCATTTCTCTGACGCCTAATAATGTTGATTATCTTTTTATGTGCTTATTGGTCATTTGCATTTGTATATCTTCTTTGGAAAGATGCCTATTGAGAGCCAGGCATGGTGGCTCACACCTGTAATACCAGCAGTTTGGGAGGCCAAGGTGGAAGGATCACTTGAGGTCAAGAGTTTGAGACCAGCCTGGCCAACATGGTGAAACTCCATCTCTACTAAAAATATAAAAATTAGCCAGGTGTTTTGTTTATTTTATTTTTAATTAAAAAAAAAAAAAAGAGGCCAGGCACGGTGGCTCACACCTATAATCCCAACATTTTGGGAGGCCACGGTGGGCAGATCAAGACCATCCTGGTCAACATGGTGAAACCCCATCTCTACTAAAAATACAAAAATTAGCTGGGTGTGGTGGCACGAGCCTATAGTCCCAGCTACTTGGGAGGCTAAGGCAGGAGAATCACTTGAACCTGGGAGGCAGAAGTTGCAGTGAGCTGAGATTGCACTGTTGTACTCCAACTGGGGCAACAAGAGCAAAACTCCATCTCAAAAAGAAAAAAAAGAAAATGAGATCCTCTGATCATTTTTTATCTATTTTCATTTTTTGAGATGGAGTTCTGCTCTGTCACCCAGCAGGAGTGCATTAACACGATCTCAGCTCATGGCAACCTCTGCCTTCCAGATTCAAACTATTCTCCTGCCTCAGCCTCTTGAGTAGCTGTGGTTACAGGCGCACACCACCACACCCAGCTAATTTGTGTTTTTTGTTTGTTTGTTTCTTTATTTTTTTGAGATGGAATTTCATTCACTTGCCAGGCTGGAGTCCAGTGGTGCAATCTCAGCTCACTGCAACCTCTGCTTCCCAGGCTGAAGTGATTCTCCTACCTCATTCTCCTTCGTAGCTGGGACTACAGGCACATGCCACCATGACCAGCTAATTTTTGTATTTGTAGTAGAGACGGGGTTTTACCATGTTGGCCAGGATGGTCTTGATTTCCCGATCTTGTGATCTGCTCACAGGCGTAAGCCACCGCACCCAGCCCAGCCCCCCACCTTTTTTTTTGGAGATGAAGTCTTGCACTGGAGTGCAGTGGCATGATCTCAGCTCACTGCAACCTCCAACTCCCAGGTTCAAATGATTCTCCTGCTTCAGCCTCCTGAGTAGCTAGGATTACAGGTGCCCACCACCACACCCAGCTAATTTTGATTTTTTTGGTAGTGATGGTGTTTCACCATGTTGGTCAAGATGGTCTAGTAGAGAGGGGGTTTCGCCATGTTGGCCAGTCTGATCCCCAACTCCTGACCTCAGGTGATCCACCCACCTCGGCCTCTCAAAGTGCTGGCCGCATTTTGACCTTTGTTTTTCTTTTTTGTGACGGAGTCTCGCTCTGTCACCCTGGCTGGAGTGCAGTGGCGCAGTCTCAGCTCATTGCAACATCCACCTCCCAGGTTCAAGAGATTATTCTGCCTCAGCCTCCCTAGTAGCTAGGACTACAGGCATGTGCCACCAAACCCAGCTAATTTTTGTATTTTTAGTAAAGATGAGGTTTCACTATGTTAGCCAGGCTGATCTTGAACTCCCGACTTTATGATCTGCCTGCCTCGGCCTCCAAAGTACTGAGATTACAGGTGTGAGCCACCGCACCCACCCAGCCCCTGGACCATTTTTTAAAAGCTGAATTGTCATTGGGCACAGTGGCAATTGAATTAAATTGTCTTAGAACTCTTGTTGAATATTGGGCTGGGTGAGGTGGCTCATAACTGTAATCCAAGCACTTTGGGAGGTCAAGGTGAGTGGATCATCTGCGGTCAGGAGTTCAAGACCAGCCTGGCCAACATGGTGAAACACCATTGCTATTAAAAATACAAAAATTAGCCGAGCGTGGTGACGGGCACCTGTAAACCAGCTACTCCAGAGGCTGAGGGAGGAGAATCTCTTGAACTCAGGAGGCAGGGGTTTCAGTGAGCCAAGATCACACCATTGCACTCCAGCCTGGGTAACAGAGCAAGACTTCATCTCCAAAAAAAAAAGGTGGGGGGCTGGGCTGGGTGCGGTGGCTTACGCCTGTGAGCAGATCACAAGATCGGGAAATCAAGACCATCCTGGCCAACATGGTAAAACCCCGTCTCTACTACAAATACAAAAATTAGCTGGGCGTGGTGGCATGTGCCTGTAGTCCCAGCTACGAAGGAGAATGAGGTAGGAGAATCACTTCAGCCTGGGAAGCAGAGGTTGCAGTGAGCTGAGATGGCACCACTGGACTCCAGCCTGGCAACAGAGCTAGACGCTGTCTCAAAAAAAAAAAAAGAATTCTGGTTAAATATCAACTACTTTTAAATGAGTGTTATTTTTGGACTTTAATTTCTTCTTTTTATTTGTATGTCTTTGACTCTTAAAGAGGTGATGAATGTTAGCAATACTGCTCAGTTGTTCAATGAGCAATGTTGTATTGGAAGTGACTGAAGAATTAGCTTCAAAGAGTAATCTCAGCTGGGCGCAGTGGCTCACGCCTGTAATCCCAACACTTTGGGAGGCCAAGGCAGGCAGATCACGAGGTAAGGAGTTCGAGACCAGGCTGGCCAACATGGTGAAACCCCATCTCTACTAAAAATACAAAAATTAGCTGGGTGTGGTGGCACTTGCCTGTAATCCCAGCTACTCAGGAGGCCGAGGCATGGGAATTGCTCGAACCCCTGGAGGCAGAGGTTGCAGTGAGCTGAGACTGCGCCACTGTACTCCAACTTGGGTGACAGAGGAAGACTCCTTCTCAAAAAAAAAAGAAAAAGAGTTGTCTCTATGGAATGAGTACATGTGAGAATATTTTCAAAGAAGTTGAAAGTCAGTACAACCTGAAGTCAAATCTGCTAAAATGTGTTACAATCGATGCTATTACCAATATTTGCAGAGCAGAAGAAACTTAGTTGGACATATTCACTAAGCTTGTGACAATGTAAGATGTTTAACGCCTTGTAGGAAAAAATAAAGAAAGAAGAAGAAAAAAGAAAAGCCTTGTAGGAAATATTTGAATTTGTCATGTGTTATTGAGCCAATAGTGTCAACTGTGAACTTTATTTGCTCTTCTAGAATCAATCATTATGAGTTCCAGATTTTTTTCAGTAATGAAGCTGAATATCCTGACTTGATCTGCCATACAGCAGTTTGATGGCTTAGCAGTTGTAACTTCTTCTTCTTCTTCTTCTTCTTATTATTATTATTTTTGAGACGGAGTTTTGCTGTTGTTACCCAGATTGGAGTGCAATGGCACAATCTCGGCTCACCGCAACCTCTGCCTTCTGGGTTCAAGCAATTCTCCTGCCTCAGCCTCCCGAGTAGCTGGGACTACAGGTGCGCACCACCATGCCCAGCTAATTTTTGTATTTTTAGTAGAGATGGGGTTTCACCTTGTTGACCAGGATGGTCTCGATCTCTTGACTTTGTGATCCACCCGCCTCGGCCTCCCAAAGTGCTGGGATTATAGGCGTGAGCCAC